CCCCAAAACCCCAAAACCCCAAAACCCCAAAACCCCGTTAATAGATTTTAACATTGATAGGACTAATATGCTGAAATTTAGTATCTGCCCAAATCGTCTGCCACTTCAAATGAAGCCTCTGTGACACTTCTTACATGATCAACAGTTGTCACTTCAGCGATGTCTGTTAAGATCATCTTTCCCTCCTTCCATTGGAATGTTGCTAGATCTGTGATCAATGTATCAACGACTTGAGGTCTTGTTAATGGGAGTGTGCATTCTTTCAGGATTTTTAGCTCTTTTCCTTTCACAGTGTGCTCCATCATGATAACTACCTTCTTGGCTCCTCCAACAAGGTCCATTGCTCCTCCCATTCCTTTGATAAGGGATCCTGGGATGATCCAGTTGGCAAGATCTCCATTTTCGGCTACTTGCATTCCTCCTAAGAAAGTGATATCGACATGTCCTCCTCTAATCATTGCAAATGAGTCTGAAGAAGTGAAGAAGGAAGCCCCTGGGACTACTGAAACGCTCTGTTTCCCAGCGTTGATTAGGTCAGCATCTACTTTGTCTTTTGGAGGGAACTCTCCGAGTCCTAAGATACCATTCTCACTCTGGAAAGTGACGTGAACGTCAGGAGCAATGAAATTAGTTGCAAGAGTAGGGATGCCGATTCCCAAATTAATGTACATTCCATCTTGGATTAAGGAAGCTGCTTTCATAGCGATTCTCTTCCTTCTCTCTCCTGCTTCCCCTTGGAAGATCGAACTAGAAGCTCCTGTTTCTCCCGGGTTAGAATATGTCAAAATTTCAATAGGTTTGACGTAATTATCTCCTTTAATTAATCTCTGAACATAGATATGTGGAAGATGGACATGGTCTGGGTCAAAAGAATCAATTTCTACGATTTCTTCAACTTCCACGATGCAAATCTTTCCTGCCTTAGCACAATCAGCATTGAAGTTCCTTGCTGATTTATTGAAGATGACATTTCCTGCCTTGTCTGCCTTCCATGCCTTAACAAGAGCAAAGTCAGCAGTCAAAGATTCTTCTAAAATATACTTCCTTCCCTTAAAGATTCTCTCTTCCTTTGGCTCAGAGAGGATCTCTGCTTCCTTAGTGCCTGGCTTATACTTGATAGTGGCTCCTCCGTCAGCTACTGCACTTCCAACTCCAGTTGGAGTGTAGAAGGCAGGAATGCCAGCACCTCCTGCTCTAAGTTTTTCTGCAAGGGTTCCTTGAGGCACTAATTCCAATTCAATAGTTCCATCAAGATATTGGTCTTTGAACCTTTGGTTCTCTCCGACGTATGAAGATATCATTTTCTTTACTTGTCTCTTACCCATGAGTTTTCCAATTCCGAAATCACTAACTCCAGCATTGTTTGAGATACAAGTAAGATCTTTGGCTCCATGTTCCTCTAAGGCCTGGATGAGGTTTTCTGGTAAACCACACTGTCCAAATCCGCCTACTGAAAGTGTAGCTCCATCTGGAATATCCTTTACAGCTTCAGCAGCACTTGGCAAAATTTTGTTGACCATGGTTCTTGAAGGGGCCATTGAAAGATTGCTAACTAGTCTTCTTTTTAAGAAAAGACTTGTTGATCTAGAGAACATCAATAAACTTTAAATAAATTATAACTCTATTCTCTGACGTGTATATGGGGTTTTGGGGTTTTGGGGTTTTGGGGTTTTGGGGTTTTGGGG